AATAAATACACAAAAAACTAAGAGAAAGGAATCCAAACAGAATGCTAAAGAAAGCCATCAAACCACAAGGGAAGAGAGCAAGAGAAGAAGAAAGGAACAGAGAAGAACTACTAAAACATTGAGGAAAAAAAGTTAAAAAATTGCAGTCAGTATATACTTATCAACAGCTATTTTAAACATCAATGGACTAAATGCTCCAATTAAAGGACATAGGGTGGCTGATTGGATAAAAAAACAAGACCCATATATATGCTGCGTACAAGAAACACATTTCAGACCTAAAGACACTCACAAACTGAAAGTGAAAGGATGGAAAAAGATGCTCCACTCAAATGGCAGTGAAAAGAAAGCTGGGGTAGCAATACTCATATCAGATGAAATAGGCTTTAAAACAAAAACTGTAAAAAGAGACACAGAAGGGCACTACATAATGATCAAGGGAACAATCCAACAACAGAATATACCACTTGTAAATATCTATGCACCCAACATAGGAGCACCTAAATATATAAGGCAAGTATTAAAAGACATAAAAGGAGAAATAGACAGTAATACAGTAATAGTAGGGGACTTTAACACTCCACTTACACCAACGGATAGATCATCCAAACAAAAGATCAATAAGGAAACATTGGCCTTAAACGACACACTAGAACAGATGAACCTAGTAGATATATGCAGAACGTTCCATCCAAAAACCAAAAAATACACATTCTTTTCAAATGCAAATGGACATTCTCCAGGATTGATCACATATTAGGCCACAAAACAAGTCTCCATATATTTAAGAAGATTGAAATAATACCAAGCATCTTTTCTGACCAAAACAGTATGAAACTAGAAATCAACTATAGGAAGAAAATCAGAATAGCCTCAAATACGTGGAGATTAAACAAAATGCCACTGAACAACAATTGGGTCAAGGAAGAAATCAAAGGAGGCGTCAAAAAATACCAGAGACAATTGAAAATGAAAATATGACATGCCAGAATTTATGGGATACGGCAAAAGCGGTTCTAAGAGGGAAGTTTATAGCAATGCAGGCCTATCTCAACAAATAAGAAAAATCTCAAAGCAACAATCTAACAGTGCACCTAGAGGAACTGGAAAAGGAAGAACAAACAAAGCCCAAAATGAGTAGAAGAAGGGAAATAATAAAAATCAGAGCAGAAATAAATGAAATAGAGACTAAAAAAAATTATAGAAAAAATTAATAAAACCAATAGCTGGGTCTTTGAAAAGATAAGAAAAATTGACAAACCGTTAGCTAGACTCATCAAGAAAAAAGAGAGAAGGCTCAAATGAGTAAAATCGGAAATGAAAGTGGAGAAATAACAATGGAAACCTCAGAAATACAAAAGATTATAAGAGAATACTACGAAAAGCTATCTGCCAACAAATTGGATAATCTAGAAAAAATGGATAAATTCTTAGAATCATACAACCTTCCAAAACTGAATCAAGAAGAAATAGAGAATTTGAATAGACCAATCATGAGTAAGGAGATCGAAACAGTAATCAAAAACCTCCCCAAAAGTAAAAGTCCAGGACCAGACGGCTTCCCTGGT